GATGTTTGCCAGGATTTCGAAGAGGATCTCACATAACAAAAAATCTCTAAACATGAGAAAAAGAGGGAAGAGGTTTTCCTAACATATTTGTGCTTTTCCATTATCCTGGAAAGTCATGAATAAAGGCCTCCAGCAGACTCTTCATTATCTTATTGGCTAAAACTTGGTAATGTACTCACTCATAAATCAATCACCAGCAAAGGGAAGTACAGTTATCCTAATTGGCTTTAATCTGTCATGATCCATCCCCAAGGACTCAGCAACTTCTAATATTGGGACAAAATTGGGGCTCTTGAAGCAAGGAGAAAGGGGTAATTGCTGTTGAGTAAGCAGCCAACAGTACCTGCTGCACACCATTTTATGAAGTTTTGTTCTTGGGTAAACGTGACAAGAGGTTGATATTTCATCTATATTCTACAGTATGTGTTAACGTTTTAGGATGGTAACAAACAGGGACATTTATATCTACCAGTGTATCATATTGCAACAATTCAAAATTGATTTCACTTTTTGTGTTGCATTGTCTAGAACAACAATTTTTGAATAGTCTGATTTTTGTAATTCTTATGTATAGCCATTAAACATTTATTTTAGGAATAAACAGCTGGGTAGCAGTAAAATATATACTGTGAAAATCAGAAATGAATGGCCTTAGAACAAAGTATAAACATCAAAGAATACAATATCTGTAGCAAGTCAATTGGGAAAGAAAGGGTGCAAATGGCTGAAAAATAAATGGTGAACACCTGTGCTGAATAAATTAAACACCTGGTTCTCAGTTTTTCATTTGACTCATCTAAAAGGCTGACTGTTACAAGGTACTCATAAGACACATTCACTTCGAGGTGTTTCTTTGTTATAACTATTAATTGATAAACGGTACTAGATGATACCAGAATTTATACCTCCAAATTCTCAGAGTAATATATGAATTGTGGCAATCAGTGAAAAATACACTTACAAAAAGCAGTGTTCAGCAGTTTTTGTGAAGAAAAATTATCCAAAAATTATTGTTATAAATGACCTTTGGAATTAAAGCTAGCAGTGTAAATGGCTCGATTTAATTTGTGAAATCAATTTTGATAGTGAAGATTTTTATAAAACCTTAATGGTGCAGATTGTTTTCCTTTATCAACGGTCTGCAACTTATGATGGTTTGACTTATGATTTTTTGACTTTGTTAATGGTTTTATTGGGATAGTAAATGCATTTTGTCTTATTATATTGGGTTTATCAGGATGTAACCCTATCACAAGTCAAGGAACATCTGTGTATGGTAAAATCATTGTAATATCTTAGAACATCGAGGTTCATTTGAGGGCTTATAATGCATCTACATTATTTTGTAATTGGTAAATGTGTTTTTATAGTTTTCAAACACTTTTAAATTAATAGAATTGAACTATTACTGTATTCTGACGTTTTCTCTGAAAGGTTGAAAATCTTTTTGAGAAAATGTCTTTTACCACATTAAAAAGTTTTAAATCTGGGGAAGATAGCCCTTTTAGACGAACAGAATTTTGCTTGCTGAGGACATAAATGGAGTTTTAGGAGCTTTTGGCTATCTTTATAACTTCTCATTAGGTATTAACTTCCACCTTGGCAGAACTCCAAAAATACTATGGTTGTTTTTAATGGGAAGTAAGGACAATATTGTATTTTTATTGCTTGCGTTTCCTCTAGTGCTAGGAATCTCACCAAATTATAATGTGGAGAACAGTAAAATGATAGTTATTGATATAGAAAAAATTTTCAAAGAATAATTTTTTCTTTGCTTATACCTTTAATTAAGTATTTTGACTTATATCTTCCAGGTTGTTCAGTACTGGTTAATATATTTCATTCACTCTTTAAGGTCCCCTATCATAGAATGTAATAGAGAGCCACCGACTAGATCATTTGCTATGTTCAATTTCCACGGTGTCATCATCATAGTCTGTAATAAGAGAAGTTGCTGTATTCTGTTTTATCTGTAAAATGTAATTAATTTTCCTGTCATTTCTTAAAATTAAAGACATGGAACTTTTGCTTTAAGAGTTAGGCATGGAACTTTTGCCAGAAAAAAAAAAAAATTAGACATGGAACTTCTGCTGAAAATTGTCACCTTAGATTCCTCATGGAACACACTTTAGTTTTGTTGGTTTTCAAAATAATAAAAGTGAATACAGAGTGTGATCAATTCTGTAGAAAATGCATGAATCACCTTTCATATTATCACTCTTCATTCTTTTTTTTTTTTTTTTTTTTTTTAGTTTTCCGAGCTAGCTGAGATTTTTTTTTGGAAAAAAAAAAAAAAAAAAAGCCAATTGAATTGTTTTGCTGCTGGAGGCATGGGCAAGGGGGTCCCCAGGCAGTAAACTCCCCGCGGGTGGGCTGAGGGCTAGGGCTGAGCGTTGGGTGGGTCTCCCGTTCCCTGTGCTCCCCTGTACAGCAACCTCCCTTCTGGGCTCTGGAGCAGCCTCAGGAGGGGAGGGGCAGGCTCGGAGGGGCTGTTGCAGCTGTTCACTTGGGCAGGACATCAGAGGATTTGGACACCAGCCTCCCATCGCGGGTCTCAGTCTTCTTCAGAACCACATGGCCATGCTGTTGTGAGTTTATGTGGCCAAAGAGCTTTCATTATGTGAATGCAGAAAACCTCGTTATATAGGTTTTGAGTTGACTATTGAGCTGTGGTAGTTTAACACTGTCTTATTTTTGATTAGTATCTCATATTTGATTAACCTTTTAGAGTTTATAAACTACTTTTCATTGTTAGTGTACTTATCTCACCACAGTTTCATGAAAGGTAAGGCAGGTGGATTGATCTCTATTTTATAGGTGGTGAATCGGGGAGATAAAATGACTTGCCAAGTATTTCCTAAGTGATGAATGCAGGGAATAATGTGGGTGTTTTCCCCACTTTAGTTTCCTAGATCTCAAAAGTGTTCGTGTAACGTTAATGATATCAATCTGTTTTTTTTTTTATGAGATTTTATTAGAATTACTGTAACAGTAAATATGGCATTTTATTTCTTGACATTTGAGTGTTATTTTGTTATTCTTTTATCGTCTTTGTAGTGTTCATTGTGTTATTTTTAATGAGGCACTTATTTTTTTCACTGAACCCAGACTTTCTGATTTACAATACAGTGTTTTTTTTTGTACCTTATTTTTTGTGTTTTTTGCAATAAGTTTGTTTCATGTTTGAAACAAAAATATCCTTTGCATGTATAAACCATTATTCATCAAGCATTTATCAGATACCACATCTATAGAGCAGTGTGGTAGGTGTTGTGAAGGGCACACAAGGAAGAGGTTAATGTATTCCCTCAAGGAATTACAGTCTGACTCAGAAGATAAAGCATACACTGGAAAACCAAAGGACTATTAAAAAGGAATGGATAAATACATGCAAGGTAAACTGCATGTGTGTATTATGGGAGCATGGTATATTAGAGTGATGAGTGTAATTGGGTTAAGGAAGACTTCTTGGAAGTGAAATTTAAACTTTTTCTTCAGCTTATTAACGTGTGTGATTATGTTTGAGAATGGAAGAATTATGATATTATGCAGTGTGGGAAGAAAATCACGAAAGAAACGAATGACATGAACCAAACAAACTGTCACGATTTGGCAATTAGAATTGATAAACTCGGAATTAGAGATGCTCTGGTGGAAAGTAGGTGGAGATTAAACCAGAAGGTTGGTAAATAAGGAAGGCTGTCTGAGGAAGAGGAAGATTTTTTTGTGAGGTAGATTTTAGATTTGATACAAGGAAGGGGTACTGTTAGTTCTTGAGCAGTCAGCTAGCAGATTTTTACTTGCCAAGACCTATCACGTACAAGGCATTGTGCCAGGTATTGAGCAGTGTGGCAACTCAGTGAAAATAATGGGTTCTGTAGAGGATAAAATATCAGAGATATTCATAAAGCAGGCAGACTGAATGGGAGCCTGTTCTATAAATCAAGACAATGGTGAACTAAGGATGTTAACTCTAGTAATAAATTTGGAAATGGGGCTTCCACTAGAGTAATCAGCATCAGTACTAAAAGAGGCAGGAAATGATACAGAAAGGTCCTGTTAGATACCACCTTGTGATAGGCCAACTTAATATTTTCATGGCAGATTTTTTTTCCCTTTATTGAAGGTCTTCTGTCATATCACCAAGTCAGGAATTCCTCAATAATAATAATCTTTGATAACTACCACTGTTGAGCATTTACTATGTCCCAGGCAGTGTTTCAGGCTCTTTGCATGCAGTACTTAATTTAATCTTCAAGGCAACCTTGTAAGATAGGTGATATGATGTCTGTGTCATAGACGGATAATTGAGGTGGTCTCAGAGAGGATAAATAATTTGTCTAAGTTCACAGAGCTTACTAGTCATACAGTCAGGGTTTGAACCAAGATCTGTTATTCTTAAGACTGTGTTCTTTTAGAAAACCAAACACTGCATGTTATCACTCATAGGCTGGTGTTGAACAATTAGAACACGTGGACACAGTTAGGGGAGCATCACACACTGCGGTCAGTTGCAGGGGGCTAGGGGAGGGACAGCAGGGAGTGGGGAGGGATAATGAGGGGAGAAATACCAGATATAGGTGATGGGAGGATGAAGGCAGCAAACCACCTTCCAGTGTATGTACCTATGCAACAATCCTACATGATCTGCACATGTACCCCAGAACCTAAAGTACAATTTAAAAAAAAAAAAAGACTGTGTTCTTCATCACTGTAGTAATTTGCTTCCAAAATACAATTCCCGTCTGCCTTAAATTCTTAAAAATGTGCATATGACATGAAATCTTTATATTTTTCAAATCTTAATTGTGTTTCGTATTTTACTGAAACATTAACAGATGAATGTTCAATGTCTGAGTCACATAACCAAACAATACACTGAACTTGATAAAAGGGTTAAAGGAATAAAAGTTGCTGTGAAAAGTTGACGCAATATAAAAATGTAGCAGGGTAGAATTATCAAAAATCTGGTGTTGATTGTTATTATAATTTCTTATTAGTCAGGATTTGCATGAAGATGTCGAAGAAGCTGGTGCACTGCAGAAAAATCATGCTCTTGTGACATCTACAAACTCCACAGAAGCTGCAGATTCTGCCTGCCTGCCTACGGAAGATGAGTCATTAAGCACTGTGAGCTGTGAAATCCTCATAGAACAAACTCCAAGCAATGATCCAGAGACTGCGCTAGAAGTAAATGGTGCTGAAGTGACAGGGGAAAAAGAAAACCATTGTGATGATAAAACTTGTGTGCCATCAACTTCAACAGAGGAAATGAGTGAAAATGTGCCTATAGCAGAAGATACCACAGAGCAGCCAAAGAAAAATAAAATTACTTACTCGCAAATTATTAAAGAAGGCAGGAGATTTAATATTGATTTAGTATCAAAGGTAAGTACCAATTTTATTCATCTTTGCATTGAAAACAGTATCTGAGCCCATAAACCCAATTTTTGTAATTCTCTGAGATGCAGAACATTTGTTTTGTAAAGAGATAGTAGCCAGAAGTTTGTAATTCATTTAAAATATTCCTTAAGTGCAGATTAAAAACACATTTAAGGTGCTCACATTAAAATGCTTTAAATATGTTTTTAATCTATACTTGATGAATACTTTTGTACTTGAGCACATAGTACAACCTAATATTCTCTTAATGCATGGACACTGTGAATTCTATCAAAAGAAAAATTCTAATGGACCTGTTTAGAAATTATTTACAGTCAATTTCCATCAATTCTTTTAGCCTTTATGTATAGTAACTATTTTCACAACTATACTATGATGAATACTCTAAATAAACCAATGCATTTTTAAAAATCATGTGTTCACATGGACACAGGAAGGGGAACATCATGCACCGAATCCTGTCGGAGGTTAGGGGTCTAGGGGAGGGATAGTACAGCATTAGAAGAAATACCTAATGTGGATGTTGGGCTGATGGGTGCAACAAACCACTATAAATATATGTGTGTGTATATATATATGTGTGTGTGTGTGTGTATATATATATATATATATATATATGTATGTACATATATATGTATATACCTATGTAACAAACTTGGATGTTCTACACCTGTATCCCAGAATTTAAAGTATAATTTTAAAAAAATGTCACAAAAAAATCATGTGTTCAGGTTTGAAAGCTTCAGAGGAAAATTTAATAGTGATGGAGGCAGGAAGGCTGGGAAGAAAGCTATTGTCTTCAGTTATGTTCCTGAACATAACTAACTTGAACATTAGTTCACTGTAACTTCACAGGGGGTCCCTTGGTGTTAGAAGGGTACAATGTTGCATTGGGTTTGTAGGAAGCAAGACCCTTTTAGTGCAAAAGAATAGAAATCCAGTAAGATAAAGGATTGTGGCCTTAAAGGGTTACAATACAGGGCAGGGTAACAGTAGAGAAAATCAGAGACTAAATCCTGTAAATTGAGAACAAACAATAAGGAATTGAAACGAAGTAGGAGAGGATAGTAAATAACATCAGACTTACCACAGAACTAGCACAAAACTAAGCTTTTCAATTTAATGTACTTTCTTCAAGTTCCGGGGAACAGAGAGGGACCAATACATTGCCCTCCACAAGTTGTTTCTGCAAATCCCGTATCCTCATACTCTTGTTCCCTTTGAACTTGATGTCTGAAAATATAATTTTTTTTTTACTACCCATTGTTCTGTCTGTCATGTAGCACTCTGTGTCTGATTTTGCGTTATTGGCTATTGCATTGGTTCTACTTCATACTTCCGCACAATTTCTCCCACCTTCTGCATTTGCTTTGACCCTGTCATGATTTGAAATCTAGGGTTTTTTCCACATTACCTTGGCCGTTCATCTGTGGATGGAAGTTTAATCCTAGCTGTTTAATAACCTTCCTGGTCCCATGAACAATACTCTTGTGAAACAGGTTAAACAAAACGTAAAAACGGAAGAAGTCAAATAACAAATGGGCTTTGTCTGAAAATTCCATTTTGAAGTAGTTACTTGGAATTTGGAATGTTTTACCTAAATAAATAATGATATAAATGTGTTTAAGAATCAAGGCTATTTCATAAAAGCCTGTAACCTTTATGTTAGCTAAAATTTAGTATGTGTCTTGCAAAGGGAAGTGGTAGAAGATGGTACTGTTTTAATTGTAGGAATTGGCGTAGAAAATTATTCAGTTGTATAAGAAAATGAATGCTGGTTGTGGGAGGAAAAATACAGTTAAATTAGAAGTTGACACTTTTGAAGATACTCTGAAGGAGACTTGTGGGTATTTTCATGGGTTTGAATGGCCAGTAGTAACCAGTTCTCTACTGTAAGTAAAAATCAAACATGTCTAGAGGCAGTGGACTAGGCAGTTGGGACTGTGTCCTACAGAGTTTTCATTTTTTAATAGATTCTACAAAATAACTAAGAATCAGTTATTGTACTCATTTTCAAAACCAGAAGTATCTAAATCACATATAACCATGGTAATACAGGAGATTTATTTTCAGTTTTTAAAATGTAAGTCATTTAATACATATTCAGTGCATACTGAATGGAAAGCATGTATTCCATGCTACTGGGGCAATTGGTCACTCCTTAGAAATTCATCTGTTTTGATAATTGTAGTTAATAACATCTAAGTTTAGGATGATTGCCAAATATCTATCTTAAAGCTCTACCTCTTTTATTATTATTGTTTTTTTTGAGATGGAGTCTTGCTCAGTCGCCAGGCTGGAGTGCAGTGAGTGGCGTGATCTTGGTTCACTGCAACTTCCACCTCGTGGGTTCAAGCCATTCTCCTGCCTCAGCCTACTGAGTAGCTGGGACTTTGGTGCGTGCCACCATGCCTGGCTAATCTTTGTATTTTTATTAGAGACAGGGTTTCACCAAGTTGGTGAGGATGGTCTCGATCTCCTGACCTTGTGATCCACCCTCTTCGGCCTCCCAAAGTCCTGGGATTACAGACGTGATCCACTGCACCTGACCAAATCCCTACCTCTTTTCTAAAGTCTAACTCAGTATCTCTAAACTACTTGACATTTCTATATGCGTTCGACCTCAAAGGCATCGTGATATAATTATCACATACTGTGGCGCTTTGCAGTTTACAATACACATTCATGTATATAGCCTTTTAAAAAGTAATAGCTCAGGGTAGGTTAGTTAAATATGTATAGTTTCATACTGCTCAGACTAATAGAGAAGATCAAAGATGAAATTCTTAAAATGAAAGTTCATTTCTAAGTAAGTCCATACTCTTTGTAATTATGGAATCAACATGCTAAGTGAAGGAAAAATTGGTAATTATTAAATCTAATTTCCATTATTGTAATCAAATTGCACTGCTCTTTAGCCCCTCATCACTGTGGTAGATCACTTAGAATTGCTGTGGTAGATCACTTAGAGGGTGGTTAAAAAAAGGCTTAGGCCGGGCACCGTGGCTCATGCCTGTAATCCCAGCACTTTGGGAAGCTGAGGTGGGTGGATCACCTAAAGTCGGGAGTTCGAGACCAGCCTGACCAACATGGTGAAACCCCGTCTCTACTAAATACAAAAAATTAGCTGGACGTGGTAGTACATGCCTGTAATCCCAGATACTCAGGAGGCTGGAACAGAAGAATGGCTTGAACCTGGGAGACAGGTTGCAGCGAGCTGAGATAGAGCCACTGCACTCCAGCCTGGGCAACAGAGTGAGATTCTGCCTCAAAAAAAAAAAAAAAAAAAAGAGAAAAGAAAAAGAGGCTTAGATTTTTTAATATTGTATACGTTTATTATTTCTGAGCATCAGAAACAAACATCTAGTATAATTTTAATTGAAATTTGTTTTCATTTTTTTGTGGTATCTTAAATGCATTATTTTTCAAGCTGGCATTAAACCTTAAGCTTTATTGTATCTTATTCAATAAAAATGCATTTTTTGGTTTTATATCTTAATGTTTGTGAAATTATTATGGCTATTTAGGGATCCTTGAATCTCAAATGTGTGTCTTTTTAAAAAATGAGTTTTTTGAAGTAACTTTTTAATCATTATTATAGAGTTAAGAATTGGCATGGGCTGTATCAGTTTTGTAGTGTGTTAGAAAGAGGGTAATGAAGTAACATGCCATATTTAATCAGGATAATGAGATTAGTTTTTAAAAAGCGATGTCAATTTGGTTTTACAGAATACTGAACTATTAGTTTATAAAATTTTACTTGAATGGTATTGATTTACTGGTAATTTTTACTGACTTATTAGATGTTCAGATTAATGGTTTAGATTGATTTTTGAGATTCCTTTTTCTTTGTATAGTAAAGCTAATTTTCTTTTTCCCCACTTATAGATGTAACATTTGTTTTTAATATTTATTGAGTTACAGACATTATTTAAGAGTATCTTAATGTAGGAAAAAGTCAGATCTGTTGCATTTAACCGTAAGGTTAGCGGGCTAGATAATACTTAACATTATTGCTTTTATCTCTCTGATACTACTTATGAGATGTTGAAAGATTAAGTCAATTTCTCACGTCCTTGCCAGCAATAACCATCATCTTCGATTTTTGAGAACAACTTATCTCATATAAACCCAGACTTCTAGAATTACAGAGGGACCTTATAATTTGACTCTTTCGGTATAAATGCATGACAAATATTTTTTTCTTTTTTAATGCGGTAGGGAGGTTCACTGGGCTGATTTCTTCTTATAACTACCTGGCTTTGTGTAAAACTATAGTCTCTTATCCAAAATCCTCAGGGCCTGGTGTGTTCTGTCATTAAGATTAAAAAAAAATATTTTAGGAAATAATGAAGTACATATGCTGCTATGTTATATGTTAGGTTGAATTATTAGCAGGGTCTGAGGAGGCACTCTAAACACATTATTTCTACAGTGAAATGTATGAATATTTACATTAATTTGGACAAACAAAGCCAGAAGTGCCTTATCAGTTTGGATCATGTTTTGCTGCTAAACAAGTTATGAAAAAACTTATGGATTGCAAAGTTTTTTGGATTGTGAATTTCAGCTAATCAATTATAAACCTGTAATAGATTGTGTTATATATTATAATATTTATGGGTATGATACTTCCTACAAATGATCAAAAATATAACAAAATTATGTATCTTTATTGTTTCCCAATTTTTCCACTATTTCAACTTCTATCTTCTAAAATATTTTCTTTGTACAGCTGCTGTATTCTCGAGGATTACTAATTGATCTTCTAATCAAATCTAATGTTAGTCGATATGCAGAGTTTAAAAATATTACCAGGATTCTTGCATTTCGAGATGGAAGAGTGGAACAGGTACTGTGGCGATCAAGAATTGTAACTGGGCATCAGCTTAAGTTATTATTGTTTGTTTTGGAAAGATAAGCAAATAAAATTGTTATTTTCCTCATAAAGCAGGAAGTTCCAGTCCTGTATAGTGATTTACAAATGTAAATGCTTAATTAAAATTTCTAGTGCTAATTTTCTCATGACTTATTCTGCAGCTTAGTGTTGGTACCAAAAAGTGCACGAAGTACCAAAAAGCACACCAGGGGCACTACACCCAAGACTAGTCACACAAATCCTTTTCTCCCATTAATCAAGATTTTGGAGAGGGAAAAGAAAGAAACAGTGATTTTTTTTTTTTTTTTTTTTTTTTTTACTGTCCACTTGATCAGATTCCACAGACAGAAGGAGGCCTGGAGCCTTGCTGGTAAACAATTCTGACCCTTGTGACAGCTGACCAGATGCTGGGTTCTTGACTGCAGTTTCCAGAAGAGCACAGCTTTGCTATCCTGCTTATGGCACCAAAACTGTAGGGACCAAGGGAAACACTCCCTCTTAACCCTCGGAAGTTTCACTGAAAAATGAACTCACGAAAGGCAGATTAATTGGAGAAAAGGCATAAAAATGTGCTAACATGTATGTTGGGAGAACCACAGTATTTGTTTTAGATAGCACTGCTAAATTTGTTCTGTGTTAGGGTGAGATGCCGTTAGCCTTTTAATGGCATGAGGAGTAACTTGGCAGAATTAAGTAAGAAAGCTCACAATTAGCTCTGAAGTTAGCAGAGATGCCATTAGTACTGATGGAAGGTGATGTGAAAAAGCCTGGCTATAGTAGAAATGATAATCCTGTTACATGTAAAGGGAAAAAAGTATAATTTGGAATACTTGTATCATTGGGAAGCAGTTTTTTAACTTAAAATTATAATATTTTTCAGGTACCTTGTTCCAGAGCCGATGTCTTTAATAGCAAACAACTTTCTATGGTAGAAAAGCGAATGCTAATGAAATTTCTTACATTTTGTATGGAATATGAGAAATATCCTGATGAATATAAAGGTACTTTTTTCATTAAGTTGTGTTCTCCAATTATTTGACATTTCTTACTATTTTAATATACTCGCTCTGTGAGCATATTAAAGCATTAAACTCCTTAAAGCATAATAAGTGAGCCACTTATTACTGTTTTAAAATGCATTTTAACTGCACTATTCAATAGGTTAGCCATTAGTAACGTGTTGCTATTTAAATTAATTAAAATGAAATAAAATAAAAACATTCAGTTTCTCAGTCTCATTAGCCATATTTCAAGGGCTCCATAGTCACATGTGGCTACAGTGCAGATATTTTCATTATTGCTGAAGTGGCATGGTAGATTTTAATTTTTATTCTTATTATTTAAATACTACTGTCAGCTGACTCTTCATAGATGATAATCCCTTTTCATGAGTCCATTATTTTTTCTCATAAATGGAAATACTATATATTTTTTCATTTTCCAGGATTTGCCTAGAATCTTGAACAATTTTGTTTGAAAAATAAAAAGCTAGATGGTATATGAGGGGAAAATAGTAGATTCAGAAAAGGCATGGTTTCTGTTCTTGGCTTTTATCTATTTCACTATGTGATCTGGGGACAGTTACTTCACAGTCTGTTAAAAATTGATTATGCCATTTTAGTATCAGAGCTGTATTCTTTTAAGTCCTTTGGTCTGAAAGTGTTATCCAAAATTGAAATATACCATTGATAATTTAAAGTTATAATGAGAAGTTCAGCAGTAGTTTTTTTTCCTCTGTGAAATAATAAAATTCTAATCCTTGCTCTTAACCCTTCAAGTCTACTAGATTCTGTCATGTTGTTATCCATAGTGGCTGTATAAACTTAAATTCTCTCAGTAAATTTTTATAATTTTTATTTATGTAAATTATTTCTGTAAAGTTTTTGTCTTTTGTCATGGGATTGTGTTTCCCGCCACTAACAGTCCAATGTAGTTTTCTGTTCTTGGTTTAAAGGAGTAGCTGTTAAGGGTCCACATGTTTTGATGTGATTATATGGCCAAAAGACTGAGTATAGTAGCCACACAGAAATTCGTTTTATTATTTTTTAGTTTATTTTCTGAGTATTAGTGAGAAGTATACATTTTGCAAAACTCACATATTTATCATTTTAAATTACTACATTCCCATGTTGTCATAGTGTTTTAATATTTTCAAGTACCGTTATTGGCATTATCCTGCAGGTTTCATGATAGTAAAGTGAGGTAATTGCAAACTATGGTAACCCATTCAATTATTTAATTATTTTCTAGTGTTTTTTTTTTTTTTTTAAATCCGCAAAATGCTCAATCAAAATTCATTATTTAAAGCTTAAAAATGTGCCATTACTCCAAATAGGAGAACAAGATTGTTTTCACTTTTTTCTAAGATCAACCTTCGTTGTCCAAAATATAGTAATACCAACCTGCAGCCTTTGTGAAGATTTTGAAACACACTTTATCTCCTTTTTGTGGGGTCGCTTTAAATAGAAGTTTAGTTCTGATTGTAAGTGATAAAATTTCGTCTTTTCATAGGCTATGAAGAGATTACATTTTATGAATATTTAAAAACTCAAAAATTAACCCCCAACCTTCAATATATTGTCCTGCATTCAATTGCAATGACATCACAGACAGCCAGCAGTACCATAGATGGTCTCAAAGCTACCAAAAACTTTCTTCACTGTCTTGGGCGGTATGGCAACACTCCATTTTTGTTTCCTTTATATGGACAAGGAGAACTCCCCCAGTGTTTCTGCAGGTAAGTTTGCCATTGGTTTTCTTGTCCCTTCTAAAGGTGATACTTGAATAACAGATGAAAATTAGGAAGGCAAAAAAGACATTTGTTCAAGATGTAGTGTATGCAAACACATACTTTGTTCTATTTTTTTAAATAATCTATTTCCTGCCTGTCTACACAACTAAGTGATATATTCAATGTGGCCTAGTTTTGAGCTTTATAAAAATGCTATAAATTCCTTTTTCCACTCAATAGCATGATGGAAAGTATTGTCATTGAGTCATTTTAGTTAATTTTTATTGCTATATATAGTATTTTATTGTGACTACACCACAATCTGTTTTTTCATTTTTCTGTTGATGAACACAGGATGTTTCCAGTTTTTTGCAATTAACACCCTTGTGTATGTTTCAAGTTATATATGTTCAAGAATTTCTCTCGGAAAGATATCTAGCAGTGGAATTCCCGAGTCATGAGATACATGAATGTTAACACTTTACAACATAGCGTCCAGTTATTTCTCTAGAAGGCTGTACCAATTATAACCTTTTAGCAGTACATAAGAATACCCAAAGGCCGGGCGCGGTGGCTCAAGCCTGTAATCCCAGCACTTTGGGAGGTCGAGGCGGGTGGATCACGAGGTCAAGAGATCGAGACCATCCTGGTCAACATGGTGAAACCCCGTCTCTACTAAAAATACAAAACATTAGCTGGGCATGGTGGCGCGTGCCTGTAGTCCCAGCTGCTTGGGAGGCTGAGGCAGGAGAATTGCCTGAACCCAGGAGGCGGAGGTTGCGGTGAGCCGAGATCACGCCATTGCACTCCAGCCTGGGTAACAAGAGTGAAACTCCGTCTCAAAAAAAAAAAAAAAAAAAAGGAGTACCCAAAACTTTACATGTTTGCCAAGATTTAAAAATTTTTTGTCAGTCTAACTCACGTAAATTATCATTGCATTGGATTTTGATTTTTCATTTCCCTAATTACCTATGAAGTTGAACCTCTTCTCATTTGTTTACTGGCCATTCATGTTTTATCTTCAGGGAATACTTGTTTGTGTCTTTTTCTTGTTTGTTTTACACATTAAAAAATCCTTTGTGTGTGCATGGGTACATAGTAGGCATATATATTTTTGGGGTACATGGCATACTTTAATACAGGTATGCCAAGTGCAATCCGTCATGGTAAATGCGGTATCCATCCCCTCAAGCATTTATCCTTTGTGTTGAAAAAATCCAATTATACTCTTTATTTTAACATGTAGAATTAAATCATTATTGACTGTAGTCACCCTGTTGTGATATCAAATACTAGATTCTGTTCATTCTTTCTAACTACGTTTTGTACCTATTAATTATTCCCACTGACCCGATACCCCCTCAAAACCCTCCCCGGGCTCTGATAACCATGCTTCTACTTTCTGTCTCCATATGTTTAATTGTTTTAATTTTTATCTCCCACAAATAAGTGAGGATATGCATTGTTTATCTTTCTGTGCCTGGCTTATTTCACTTTGGCCTCCACTTTCATCCATGTTGATGCAGATATCAGGATCTCATTCTTTTTATGGCCGAATAGTATTCCATGGTGTAACTGTACTACATTTTCTTTACCCATTTATCCATTGCTGGACACTTAGGTTGCTTCCAAATCTTGGCTATTGTGAACAGTGCTGCAACATGTGGTATGCAGATATCCTTTTGCTACACTGATTTCCTTTCTTTAGGGTATATACCTGGCAGTGGGATTGCTGGATCATATGATAGTTTTATTTTTAGTTTTCTGAGGAACTTCTGAACTGTTCTCCATAGTGTTTGTACAAATTTACACTCCCACCCACAGTGTTTGAGGGTTCCCTTTTCTCCATATCCTTGCCAGCATTTGCTAGTGCCTTTCTTTTGAATAAAAGTTACTTTAACTGGGGCAATACGATATCTCATTGTAGTTTTGATGTGCATTTATCTGATGATCAGTGATGTTGAGCACCTTTTTATATGTCTCTTTGCCATTTGTTTGTTTCCTTTTGAGAAATGTCCGTTCAGCTATTTTCCCCATTATTTAATCACATCATTAGATTTTTTCCTTGTAGAGTTGTTTGAGCTACTTAAATATTCTGGTCATTAATTCCTTGTCAGATGGATAGTTTGCAAATATTTTCTTTCATTCTGTGGTTTGTCTTTTCACTTTATGGTTTCTTTTGCTGTGCAGAAGCTTTTTAACTTCATGTGATCCCATTTGTCCATTTTTCCTTTAGTTGCCGGTACTTATGGGTCATTGTTCAAGAAATCTTTGCCCAGACCAGTATCCTAGAGGTTTTCTCCGATGTTTTCTTGTAGTAGATTCATAGTTTGAGGCGTTAGGTATAACTCTTTAATCCATTTGGATTTGCTTTTTATATACAGTGAAAGATGGGATCTAGTTTCATTTTTCTGCATGTGGATATCCAGTTATCCCAACACCCTTTATTGAAAAGACTGCCTTTTACCCAGTGTATATTCTTGGCACCTTTGTCAAAAATGAGTTCATTGTGGGTGTGTGGATTTGTTTCTGGGTTCTCTGTTCTGTTCCTTTGGTTTATGTGTCTGTTTCTATTACAGTACCATGCTGTTTCGGTGACTATTTTGAAGTAAGGTAATGTGATTCCTCCAGTGTTGTTCTTTTAGCTCAGGATAGCTTTGGCAATTCTGGGTCTTTTGTGGTTCCATATACATTTAGGATTTTTTTATTTCTCTGAAGAATGCCATTGATATTTTGATATAGATCACATTAAATCTGTAGATTGCTTTGTGTAGTATGGACATCTTAACAGTATTGATTCTTCCAGTCCATGAACATGGAATGGTTTTCCATTTCTTTGTGTCCTCTTCAATGTCTTCATCAGTGTTTTATAGATTTCATTGTAGGAATCTTTCACTTCCTTGATTAATTCCGTGGTATTTAATTGCATTTGTGGGTATTCTAATTGAGATTACTTTTTAAAATTTCTTTTTCAGATTTTTCAGTGTTGACATATGGAAATGCTACTGATTTTTTGTATTGATTTTATATCCTGCAACTTTAGTGAATTTGTCAGTCTAATAGTTTCTTGATGGAGACTTTAGGCTTCTCCAACTATAAAATTATATCATCTGCAAGCAAGGATAATTTTACTTCTCTCAGCCTTTCCCAGTAGCCACCACAGCCACTGGCCCACTGGGAGTTCTGCCAGGCCACCCCTGATGTTCACTTCAATCCCAAGTGCTCTTCAGTAAGCTTGTGTAGAATGCTTCCAGGCCTGGGCCTTACCCTTCGTGGCAGCGTGATCCCCTCTGACCAAGGGTAGGTCTAGAAAGGCTGTCTAAGAGCCTAGGCCTTGACTTGGGGTCCCCAAGAGCCTGTTTGGTACTCTGCACCCCTATGGCCGAGTTGGCGCTTAGCACACAACAAAGGGCCCCTTTTCTTTTTTCTCTGTTTTTCTCAAGCAGAAGTCTTTCTCCATAGACACCACAGCTGCGAAGGTACTGGGTTTCACCTGAAGCCAACATGTCTCAGAATCTCACCCCAGGCTCACGGTATACTACCTGGATATTACTGTTGATTATTCTGTACCCAAGGGCTTTTTAACCAGCAGGTTATGAACCCTGCCAGGATTGGGTCGTTTCTTTCCAGGCAGTGGGTTCCCTTATGGTCCATGGTATGTCTAGAAATGTTTTCTGGGAGTTAGGATCTAGAATGGCGGTCTTATGACTCTGCCTGATATCTTTTTGTGGCTGAACTGCGATCCAAGATGCAAGACAAAGTCCTCTTACTCTTTGCTCTCCTCTTCTCAAGCAGAAGGAATTATTTACCTTCATTGTTGTGAGCCGAATAGCCTAGGGTTTGGGGAGGGGTGGCACAAGCACTCCCTTAGCTACCCAGGCTGATTTCTCCGTAGGTCATGTGCTGCCCTAGTCCACGGGCTCTAAGCCCAGCCCAACATTAGCACTTACCTAGGATTTACAGTCTTTGTGTCCTAGACTGCCTTTCAAGTTTGCCTAGAACTCCAGAGCACTTTAGCCCATTGTGGCAAGGCTTGCTGAGAAGCTCGAGTTCCATCTGCTGGGATGGGCCATTCCTCTCTTGCTAGGGCTGGTCCAAATGCTCTTTCAATGCTAGCTGAGCCCAGCATAGCTTTGTTCTCCACTGGCAGGGCAGCACCAAGTTCAATGCTACATCCTTCAGTGGCTATGCTCTCGCTTCCTCAAATGCATAGATTTCTCTCTCCACACCATGTGGCCACTGCCATGGAATTGGGGAGGGGTGGCGTCAGCAATTCAAGACTTGTCTTCAGTGCCTCCTTCCGTGATAGGAAGTTGCAGCCTGGCACTGTGATTGCTTACCTGAATTTTGCTTCTTATGATGGTGCTTTTTTTGTGTGTAGTTAGTTGTTAAAATTTGGTGTTCCTGTGGGAGGGATGATCACTAGAGGCTTTTATTTGACCATCTTCCTCCACCCTCTGGTTGTTGACTTTTGCCTATTTGTCTCTTGGGTTGTTGTCTTTTTCTTACTGATTTGTAGGAGTTTTTTTTTTTTTTTTTTTTTTTTTTTTTTTTTTGAGACGGAGTTTCGCTCTCGTTATCCAGGCTGGAGTGCAATGGCGCGATCTCGGCTCACCGCAACCTCCGCCTCCTGGGTTCAGGCAATTCTCCTGCCTCAGCCTCCTGAGTAGCTGGGATTACAGGCACGTGCCACCATGCCCGGCTGATTTTTTGTATTTTTAGTAGAGACGGGGTTTCATCATGTTGACCAGATGGTCTCGATCTCTTGACCTCGTGATCCACCTGCCTCGGCCTCCCAAAGTGCTGGGATTACAGGCGTGAGCCACCGCGCCCGGCGATTTGTAGGAGTTTTAAAATGTATTCTCATTATTGATTTTCTTTCAGTTATATGTGTTGGATACATTTTGTCTTATGGTTTTTATGATACATAAAAGTCATGAAGATTAATGTAGTCAAATTAGAACAATCTTTTTTGTTATACTTAGCTTTTTTTGGGAGGTCATGTA